CTTTTTTTTTTTTTTTTTTAATTTTTTACTCTCCCACATACTTGTGTCTCCCAGATCTCCAGGGTGATTCCCAGGTTGATCTTTTTTGAAAGAAAAAGTGTGGGGGAACCTACTTGAAGATGTGGACTTCAGAGGTCTCTGTCTGCTCTGCCTCTGCCAGACCCAGACGACAGACTCAATGAGATGGCTATTCACAAAGAAAGTAGTAAGTTGTGATTCTTGTTTATTATTTTCAATGATTAGTTGATCTCCAGGATCAGGGTCCCCAAAGCATGCATGGACTCTCTCTCTATATCTCTTCCCCCTTCTCTTTTTCCTTCTCCTCTCCCCTCTCCTTCTTTTTCCTTTTTAGGAAAAACAAATAGCACCTTCTCATCCTAGGAATCATTTATAAAAACAGTAAGCTGCTACTTTCTCACTTTTCCAATCCTGGGTTAAAGATATCTGAGGTTGGCCTATATGTGCCTACCCTCAACATAGTAATATTTTAAAATGCATTTGATCAGCGTATGAGATGTATACACAAGTTTTTTCCACAATAAATACTATATAACTGATGTCATTGTGCTAAGTTTAACCCAGAACTTGCACAGATGTGTTCTTTGAGGGATTTCTGGATGTATTTGTACCCCCTCAAAGGGGGGGAATGATAGGAAGACTCTAGGAGGAGGATGTGGTAGAGCTGATTCAATTCCCTTTGGGCTCGTTGCTCCTCCCTCTCCCCACCTCTGAGCCCAGCTCCTTAGACCTAACCTGAGTCAGCTGTCAGCTCAATACTGCCTACCTCTCATTTCCAGCTGGGTTAGATAGTCAGGCAGTCGCCCACTTCCCATGAGCACAGTCATTATGACTGTGGTCGCTGCTAGTCTCTGCATTACCATCAGACCAAGGCCTAGACCGAACAATAGCATCTCCTCCAGCAGCTTCTCTCAGCCAGGGGTAGCACAGCCAGAGTACTAATAACAATATGAATATTGCATTGAGAAGCGCTCTAGTTTGTCTCACCTTCTGAGAGTCTTACAGATGTTAACTAATTAATCTTCACTGCTCTCTCTCTCTCTGCATTTAGAGGAAAATATTCTGAACCATGATGCAAGACACGTATGTATCTGCTGAGGACAGCATATACATATCTATCTATCATGGTTCACTTGATAGAGTAACTGGTATTTTTAAAACACCCATCATAGATACAATAATTAGAGATATGCTTTTGTTAACAAAGCCACTACCCACTTCTAGCGTACCCTTGGGTACTAAATAATTACCCACTTTGTGTGGTTATCTAGCTCACTAATTACCCACAGAAATTGGGGTCAGGTGTTAACTGCTTCAAATAAGTATCCTCCAAAGACCTGCCTGAGTTGTATGGAGAAAATGATGTGTTCCTTAGTCTAACTTTCCTAAGTCACATATTGGTGCGCCTTTGTAAGCAGAGTGAGCCCAGACAAGTGCAAATTACTTAGTGTTGGAAGTCATGCAAAACTGTTATTGCAAATCACTGAGGTTAGGAGAATTTCCTTCTCCCCCATCTTTCCTTTCCAGGTGAGTACAGTGGCCTGTTCTCTGGCCTTCATATACGCAAGTGCATACAAGCATACACTGAGACAATCGAGGACTCTCTTTAGGAGTGATTCATCTTGGCGGTACAGGGAGGCACCCAGTGAGTCAAAGATTTTTTTTTTTGACAGCTCCACCCTTTTTGATTATTTTAGCATGTCTCTTCTTCTTCTTCTTCTTCTTCTTCTTCTTCTTCTTCTTCTTCTTCTTCTTCTTCTTCTTCTTCTTCTTCTTCTGTCTAGTGCAAACACTCTATTAGCCAAATTTGAAAAAGATTGTGACCCAGTCACCAGCTCCTGGCTCATGCCTTCCTGCTTCCCAGCCATGACAATAAGAAAAAAATACGTTAAAGATACTGCAGCATTCTGTTACTTCTCCTCCTTTGCCTGTTTGTCCTCCTCTTCCCTTTCCTCTTCCTTTCCTTTCCTCCTGTCCCTCCCTCCCCTTCTCCTCTCTTTCCCTTCCTCTGCTTTTCCATCTCATAGCTGCATTTCCTCTCTCCTGTCTCCTTCCTTAGGCATCCAGCCGTGCATCTGAAGTCTCTCCGTCAGAGACAAAGCACAGTGAATCCCTGTGAGGAGCACAAAGAAACTACCTTTTAAAACACCCACTTGCCGGGAACCTGCGTCCTTGGCTGTCTTCCCCTCCTTTCTTGCTATTTGCAGCACCCCGTATTCTATTTTAACACAGCGCTGTCTGTTGTCTACAGGATTCTAGCCTCCTTGGGAAAACTGGGTTAAGACAGCAATCTACCCACTGTGTTTATGGATAGGTAGAGACCCTAATTTTGGGGGTGGTACCTTCTTTGAGAGGACACTGTGTGGAAGGCAAGCCTTTAAAATGGGTGACAACAGAAACCCTGCATGCAGCTCCCTTCGTCTTCTGGAGATGACTTCCTTTTTTTCTTGTGTTTCTCCCTCCCGCCCTCTCTCCCCCTCTCCTTATTTCTCCTCTTTTTTTGCCATCTGAAGTATTGCTTATGATTATTGAGGCACATTATGCTGATCAATAAAGGATGCGTTTGTCTGATGGGCATGGGAGGCTACAGACGCTTCAGGAATGAGGAAAAAGCCAGCAGTGGAAGGCAAGGGTGAGGCTGAGCTGTGGAGACTGACTGAGCAGCTTCCCAAATCCCAGGGACATAAGTGGCAAATTAGTGTACATTGCAAGCAGAGGCAACCAACAAAACCCAGGCATTGAAAGACATGAGGTTTTTAGCATTGTGATCATTATGTGCCCAGAGTGTCTGTGTGTCTTAAATATAGACTTGAGTTGTTGCTCTTTTATGCTTTCACACAACAGTTTCAAAGAAATGTTTGGGCGTTGTTGACTATCTGTCCATTAAAAAAAAAAAAAGAGGAAAATTTCACAAGCCTCACCTGCGCTCATTCACGAACGTGCATGGATGCCAGACAATTGGCCAAAGAACAGCATTTCACCGGAGGTCTCACTTCTTCACAATCCCCACCTTGATTCCCCCCACCCCCACTTTAGAAAATGAGCTACCTGAACTGTAGGTCTAGCAAAAGAAAACACACACACACACACACACACACACACACGTTTGAATCTGTAGAAGTACAATGTCTAGTTTCCCCTGACCTGATGGTGTATTTTTGATCTCATTAGTAGTCAGGGAGATGTCTTGTGCATCCGGAGCTGCTAGTCCGGGAGGAGACATGGTACAGCACAGAGCGAGCGGGAGAGGCTATTAGAAGAGGCTTGTCTCCAAGATATGGAAGGAAGCTGGAGATGACAGTGTTGCGAGCTTTGTATGCAGGAGCCTGGCAGGGCGGGGGAGAGGCAAGGGAAGCCAAGTGGATTCTCAGAAAAGGGGGGAAGCCATCAAAGAGCTAAAGGTGATTAGAGGGGGGATATCGATTCCTTACTCTGCCAGAGGTTTAAGCAGGCATGTGAGGAATCTGCACCATGGCTGGCAGAAAGAGACCCATTGCCTCCTGTAACCAGACACTGGGGCTTTCCAGGAGCCCAAGAAGAGAGCCGAGAAGAAAGGGGGCAGTGTGGTCTAGGAAAATTCAACTTGTCGCTGATTTGTGCCTGATGCTTGCTGTCCGTCAGCAGCCTCCCTTACATGCTTTTTCCCTCTCTCTCCTTTTTTCTCCCCTTGCCTTCTTCTTCAGTGAAGCCTAGGGGAGCCAGTAAAGATTAAATGTGCTTTCTCAAAGCAGCCACTTCATGCTGCTATGTCGAAAGGGCTATTATTATTATTAATATGAGAGCGGGAAGAGAGGGAGAGAGAGAGAGAGAGAGAGAGAGAGAGAGAGAGAGAGAGAAGAGAGACTGGCTAGGTATGATGATGACGGACTGGCTCTTTGGAGAGGAAAAGGGAAAGGAGAAAAAAGGAGAGACGGTGAGCTGAACGGAGGACTGTACATGAGCAGAACCTACAGAGGTGAGAAAAAAAAAGTTGTGTGTGTGGGTGTTCTAAACAGACCCTGTTCCGCGGGAAGGAGACGTGGTTTAGGGGGTGGTTGGCATGATTCTAGCTCTTCTGGTGGGGAGGAGGTGAGCCTAGAGCTCTTCACTGTGCCTAGTTGTATATGAAAGTATATTAAAAATAGTTAGCTTTTTTTCTTTCTTTCTCTTTATTTTTTTTTTTTAACTCGGAGTAGAAGGGCCCCCTCCAGTGTCTTCCTTAGGGCCGGTGCTTTGTTATTCTGTGTGCCCAGCCAGCCATCTACTTTGCTCAGGCCTTGGATAAAAGAAAGAAAGGAGGGGTGAGGGGAAAGAAATTTTTTTTTTTTTTAAAAAGAAGCATCTTCCCGTCGGCTTCCCCTCCCTTTCGATTCTTTTTTTCTTTTCCTTTTTCTTTTTTTCTTTTTTCTTTTTTCTTTTTTTTTGAGTCTGCACAGGAAAGCCAAGCTCTGCTTCCAGGCAGAGGAGGTTTGGGAACGCGACTCTATCAGGTACCACACTAGTGGCTGTCTGTGAAGATGGAGGGGGATTATGCTTCGGATTCCTCTGAAATATTGGCCAACGGCTTCAAAGGATCCGCAGCGGGAGGCGAGGGTGGGGGAGCATCTCCCCAGCTCGCACCCACCCCTTCCCACTTTGCGTCTACCAAATGACAGGCTGGTGCTCGCTCTGGGTGATTTTGGCCTTGGCCTCAGCCAAGCAGCTGATGCAGAGGAGGGCCCGCTTTGCAAGACTGGTGGAACTCTGCATGCTAGAGAAAGAAGAAGGAAAAGGAAAAAAAAAAAATCCAAGCAGTCCTTGGGAAATTTTTTCGTTCTCGCTCGATTTATTTATTTTTAATTTTTTAACCGACTGTTTTCCAAATTTGATCAGCCCCAGCCCCTCCCTCCACTCCCACCCAACTGCTTCTTCCCCCCACCCCCACCCCCGGTCAAAGCAAAAACCACAGAGTTACGGTCTTCTCTGGATTTTGGAGTATCGCTTCCTGCCCCCGCCTTCCCTCCCCGCCCCATTCTCTGTCCTATTGAACACCTCGCCCAGCCTAGCGCACTGCAAGCTCACATTCTCCCCCCGGCTCCGGATGGCGCTCCTGGAAGCTCTGCAGCCGGCTCCACTTCAAATGGGTGAGTTCAAAAACCTTTTTAACCTCCGATTCCTGCCTCCCCCAAACCTCATCTCTTAGGATTGTTGCATGTGGCACGCTTGCCCTGGGGGAAGGCAGAGGGTTATTTTCTTCGCCTTAGTCATTCGTGCTAGTTACTAGTGAAAGCCTTGAAGAGGTATTTAATCCCGATTATAGATCAGGGGATTTTTTTTGTTTTGTTTTTATTAACCAAATAGAAATAAACATTTCTGAGTCTGTTCATATTATTTCCCAATTAGTATATTATTCTGCCCAAAGCATAAAAGTTTTCTTTGCTGTAACCGGCATTTACATGTTCAGGTATATATTGCGTCTGCAGGGCTATACGGAGTCAGAAACGGCTCTAAATTTTGTGAAGGGAAGAGGCTTAGAAAGCCAGGCTGTCGCCACACTGGACCACCTGTTGGCTGTGTTTTAGTCCCGAGTCTGCCACCGAAATTGTCTGTCATTCTTGTCTTTTGCTTTGTTTTGTCTCAAGAAAGAAAGGAAAAAAAAAAATGTGTTGCGCTCCCCTCAGTCCCTGAGACCCTAACTTGTGATGTTTACCGTTTAAATCCACGGGTTAGGCTCTTGGGAGCTGCGAGTCGTGCCTGTGCGTCGCTGAAGGAACTTTTTGTCTTTTAAGAAAAAAAAAATAGAAAAGAAAGTTTGTCAGAAGTGCTGAGAGTACACCTCTGAGGCTTCCATTGTTAGATGGGATCAGGTGACCAGAGTGTGGCAGCTCCTGGCTTCTGTTGAAGTAGACAGAGACTATCAGCATCCTGTGCTGGCTGCTATGGATGCCTGTGGACATGGCTGACACCGAGGCTGGTGGAAACTCATCGGCAGGGTCTATTCCTTGAGAGCAACACGCAGGACTACCAGAGCGTAACACCAACAGCTCAGTACCTGGTGCTTGACCTCAGAATATCTCAGCTGAAGTCCCAGCATGCCCCATGCCTCCAACTTTTAAACTCAACAGTTAATCTCAAAATTATGCTCAATTAAAATGGGCATGAGAATATATAATATCCGCATTGTCCACACATGTGTCGTATATGGCTAAACAGTGGTTTCACTGACATAGGTACGCTAGAACCACTGGTTTGGAATAAATTAATAGGTTAAATATTCAACTCTCGTGTTCAATACAAAGGAAGAAAATTAAGAGATTAGGAAAAATAAAATAATGTGTTACTTTGCAAGATTTCTTAAACACAAAATGGAAGGAGATAAGCTGCCTCTTTGGTGTGATACCTCTTTAAAAATGTAATGCTTGGTGAATTTAAAGGTGATAAGAATAGGAATGGATTTTCTAAATATTATGGAATGAAAGAAATAACTGGGTGCATTTGATATTGTATTCTTTTGGGGGGGAATCAATGCCTATGACTCTCTTTAGAAGCTGGAAAGATTATTTTTTTAATCTGGGTTTTAATTCAACTGGACAAAGTTATTGGAAATACCAAACCACATTTAAAATGATCCTCTCTTGAGGCAATTGTTAGCATTTCCTAGTTTGTAGTTTTCTGGGATTATAACTTTTCATGGCAGGGTAATTTCAGTGATTCAGTCTGCCTCACACTGGGGATGAAGAACACGGCTTACCTTCCCTTTGTTGCAGAAGATTTGGGCGTACAGTTTCCTTGAAACAGTTACTCTTCTCAGCCCAACCTTTCTCTCCATTTTTGGAAAATACCTAAATCAACCCAGACTCCAAATGCTTTCATCCTTGAAAGATTTTGTAACGGTTGTAACCTCACTGCACACACGGAGTGGAAGGTGAAGGGAGCTGCTCTCATCCTATTTTTAAGGGTTTATCTCAATTTTACTCATTTACTCCAAATCGTAGTCAAGAAAGCATTTTGCACCGGAACGCTGAATTGAGAAGTGTGCAACAATTGTGCTGTGTCTTTTGTTGAAACCTCTTCTTCGGCTGTAATTTAACTATTACTTGGCAGCCTTTGATAGAATGTGCTTCAAAGCTTACAGTCATTTAAGAGATTTTTCCATTAGTTTACACGAAATGATTAATGGTTCCCACCCCATTTCAACTAATGTGCAGGCATACCTATGTGGGAATTATGGCGGTGCATCAGTTTAACTTATGGGTCGTATATTATCACAGCACACAAATGCAAGACTGGCAAGCATTCGGTGCTTTTTGAAGGCAAAATATGTATGCAGCTGACGTGACAGAAATGTGTGCATGGATCAATAAAGATGTGATAGGTGTAATTTCTCTGTGAGTTCAAATGATCGAGGGACAGAATTCAACGCAAACGTTGCAGTTTGTACTAGGCGGCTCTCCTGGTTTTTCCACGTTTTCAAGTGGATTGCTCCCTGTTCTCAGACTGCTACTGTAAAGCTGGTGGCCCAGGCATTCAGCAGTGTTCGCGACGACACAACAGATTTTTATATTTCAGCAGGCTCCAGTGCAAGGGCAGGTTTCTCAACACCCCCTCTTCCTCATGGAGCCCATCAGCGAAGTTCAGTGAAATGAATAACATAATTGGTGGTTGGTTCAATCACTACCAGTCTAGACTAGCCCAGACGCATCAATTAGAGGGGACTGTCTTCTAAAGGGAGAGTGTAACCGAAACAAGCAGGCTATTATTGATACTGATCTTTAAAAGCGCAAATCCAGCCTAGCAGATAAAAAAAAAAAAAAAAAAATAAGGCGGGGAGCTGCAGTTGGAGGTGCACGGGGGGGGGGGGGGGGGGGGGGGGGAAGAGACCGAGGGAACTGGGGCTCGGGGCGCAGAAGGACAGGAAGCTGGAGAGAAAGGGAGGGATAATGAGGGGAATGCAGTTCTGTACCTCCTTGGAGCAGTTACAATTCACAGGGCGCAGTTGCTCACTGTATTTTTAACTAGCGCTCGCATGCACACACACACAAACACACACACACACACACACATACACATACACACACAAACACACACACACACATCCACATACACACACACACACACACACACACACTCCTTCACTAACACTACCACCTCTTTTTTTTTAAGTCCTTTTTTTTTTTGCAGGCTCCAAACCATCACAGTGGAGAGCTAACAGCTTTTAGAAGCCCCACTGATAACAAGAGGAACCAGCTGAATCCCTTTTGCAATGTTTACCCCAGAGAAAAATATAGAAAATGCTTAATTTTCAAATCTCTTATTCTTTTTTGTTTTGTTTTGTTTTGTTTTAAGGAAGCATGCTAGAGAAGAGTATTCATTTTAAAATCTGGCACCTGGAACCAATTTTCTGGGCAAAACACCTTTATACAAAAAGTTTACAGTTTTCCATTGAATACGGTAACGTAAGAATGTAACAAAGGCTTTGGTGATTTGGTAGTTTTTTTTCCCCCTCTTCTTTTCTGGGGGAGAAAAACAGATGATTTAGAAAGTGTTAGGAACATATCAAGCCCCAGGGAAAGAAAACGTTTGATTGGTATTAATTAAAACACTGCTAATATATTCTAATAAAATCAGATTTAACATTCTAAACTAATCCGCCTAGCATGTCAAAGGCAAAGAAAAGTATTATCTGTCTTATTTGCATCTGGGCAACTCGCATGCATTTGCTCATTCGGCAGAATTAATTTCTTCCCCCAGTCTATTAAATCTCCTCACAGATTTAGACAAACTTATCCTTTCAAACTAGACAGGAGAGGGGTGGGGAAACCATGGAAGGTATTTGGAAAACCAGTGACTGTAGTTAGGGCCCGTTTTCTGGCTGCACATAGTCTTTTCTCCTCGTCTGATATAATGGGGTGTGGAAAGCAGCAGGGATTGCAGAATGATAAATGGCTCAGGGAATTTTTTTTTCTTTCCTTTTACCTGCTGGATTATTTAAAACATTCAGTTGCCAAATTATCCAAATTTTGTTTTGCACTGTCAGCCTGTTCATCAACATCTAATTTTTGTTCTTTTAATTTCAGAAACCATGTTATCACAGATTCCTAATGGAAAATAAATAAATAAATAAATAAATAAATGTCATTATACCAGAAACCCATCATCTTTTCTCAGCTATTTTTTTTTTTAAAGCTTCAGTCCTAAGGGCAAGTGAGAAAAGGAGTGTAAAATTTTATTCACCAAGAGCTGAGTTCTTTGTTCTCTTTTTAAGTCAGCTATTTCTCTGAAAGAATTCCATATTTTTATGGAGCATGGCATTTCAGCTCTTTATTGCTAAGCTCTCTCAACTGATAATATTGTCCTCAGATGGTGTGAGAGCCAACATGTTTCTCCTGCCATTAGTCTTCTGCAACTGTGATAGTCCATGCAAATATGAGCCTAACACAAAAAGATGAATGGGCCGGAAAGGCTGAGGACCATATGGGTGTGTTGCCACAAGGAGGGAGTCTTCAGGCTGTGGAGAGGTGGGCTGACTGCGGTCTGCACCAGGGAGGTGGCTGCTGACTTCTTCCTCCATTGCCTTTTCAAGTCTTCAAGGTAAAAGAGCAATCGCAGTTTGGTTTCACTTGTATTGTTCTATAATCCAGGCAATAAATGCTAATTAGTAATGCTCAAGGATCCGACCATTCAGAGTAATTATCATAATTTACTTCTTCCTCGTTAAAGACATTCCTTGCTGATTTAAAAAAAAAAAAAAAGAGTCATCCCTTACCCATGGCACTGCAGTGAGTATTCATTAGGGGAGATGCTCAAGGTATACTCAGAGCCTCGTGGCTGCATTGGAAATCACTGACATGCGCCGTGGCTTATTCGGAATGGAGCTGCCTCTTGATTTCGAGGATGGAATTCATGTAAGTGCATCCGATTCTGCACATGCACCAGGAATGTATGATTTTATTTTACACACCCCAAGGCTCCTCCTTCAGGGCCCACCCCTTTTTCTAAAACCATTTCTGAGCAGAACAAAGGACAGCAGTAACTACAGAGGCGTCCTTAAATGTGAGCAGCCACTGCACTGTGGAGCGTGCTATGACAACATATTTCGTGGCACAAAGGTGCAGGTAATTAAATAATTCAGCGGCAACCCCGGCTAATTAGCAGAAAGGTCTGGAAAGCGGAATCAAGAAAAAGAATCAAATCAACTTGAAGAATACGCTTCCTTCTCTGAGATCTCAAACCCAGTTTAGTTGTTTTGGAGATTGATTCATGGTAGGCGTGTGAGGACAAAAGCCAGTTCCTCAAAGCAGAGCTGGGATCTTCTTCAGACACACGAACTGGATATCTGCCTTAGATGATCTGAATTGAGTGTAAGGCTTTCTGTTTGCAGCCAAAGGGATAGCACGCCACTCAGATGCACGTCTCTTTGATCTATATAGCTAGTAGATGGCTACCCCGTAGCTTGTCAGCTGGCTTCCTCCATATGTATGTAGCCTCCCCCACAGTTTCTAATGACGCATGCTGAAGTTCCTTCTTGCTTGAAGCACGTACAGCTAGAGTAACTGCACTCGGTGTTCTCCAGGATAATACCCCCCCTCCCCATTTCCTTTGTCAAGGTGTTATTCTCAGTGTTCATTGTTCACCGGTCCTTTCGGCAGGAGCTCCAGTTTTAACTGGAGGGCTATAAGCACATTAGAAGAATAATTCCCCTTGGATACTACACAGAAGGAGCCACCTGCAAAATGTTGATGCTGTTATTGAAATCTCAAGTGGAATCAGCTTTCAAAAAATTAGATATTAGATACATCCGATATAATTTGCAATCTGTAATTATACTAATGTGCATATAGCTGCACGTTGCTTTACGTGTGGCCTACTTGAGGTTGTCGCCCACCCCCACCCTTGGGCCTGTCTCGTCTCTTGAAATTGCTCCTGAGTAGAATGCTTCTTAAGCCAGCTTTTTTTTTTTTAAATTCCTTGTTAATAATATAAGAATAAAAGGACTGTGCAGCCTCTGTGTTTGTGTGAGAAGGAAAGCGAAAAAACATAGCTGTAGAGAAAGGATGATCCCTCTAAGGGCTGTCGATGGAGACTCTTGAATTCTCTGCAAAACATTTGCAGTTCTTCGTGGATCATTTGTTCCCAACATCTAGATTTTCGCTTTCCTTCTCTCTCACACACACAGGCTGCAAAGTCCTTTTATTCTTATATTAATTAACAAGGAATTAAAAAAAATAAGCTGGCTTAAAAAAAGTGTTCTACTCAGGAGCAATTTCAAGGGATGAGACATCACTTACCCTGACTTTGGATAACGTGGAAGCACAGAGAACATCAGAGTAGTAAATATTACTCATAAGAAATACATTCCCTTTGTTGGAATTAGAGAAATGGCATTAGGCGGGGATGATGGTTTTCAACTTAATCAAAGTAATCAAACCATTGAGAATAATAAACAATTGCTTTTCTGTTTTCCCCTCCATACTGCATGTCACATGATGAGTAACTGAGCCGCTCTTGCACTAACCTCAGGTCCCTTTTGGGGCCTCAACGTGATTCCAGAGATCTACTGTTGGCTCCGCTGGGGAGTCCCCTGCAGCAAGCTGCCCCCTGAAGATCTACTTGTTAAGAAAAAGAACCCAGGCAGAAGCACAGTGACTTGGCTGGTCAGCCTGACTCCGGACTGGATGCAGTAGGTGATGAGACTGTCAAGACAAATTTGGAGAATTATTGCCGAGCAAGGCAAGGTGAGGGTCTCATTCTCTGCGTCTGCATTCAAATCGCAGAAGGATCCCAAGAGACCCTTACATTGAGTAGAAGACCACTACTTAGTACAATTTGGTAGGTATAGAACCATAAAAGAAGTTGATCTGTAAAGTTTTTAACTCAGGACAAATCTGTCCATCCTCATGCTGCCTGCTGCATAGGCATTCCTCAAACTTCCTTTTGATAGTGTTTATTGTATATAAAAGCCATTTTTGCATGGATTGGATCTATGTAACTCCAAGCGATATATAGTTTTTTTATCTTCTCACATATTCTTGGACTTTCCATTGTTCACTCTCTATATGAATCACAAAAGTATTAAATGCAATGTCCTTAATACAATACCATGCTAATTTGTTTACAAATGAATATTACATGTACGCCAAACACTTAGCACCCCGTCCTCAATTTCATTGTTTATAAAATACATTGCCCATCGACAATATTTAGAACTAAGTCATCTCCCAGTTAGATCTCCCCTCTGGAGAGCCAGCATCTCCAGTGTACTCAGTATTTAGTGTAGTAATGAGTCCCGGTACTTCCCATTCAGTGTGCCTAGCTCATTGATGCATTGCCATTGTCTGGGATAATGGAGAAGTGGACGTCAAAGGCTTTGGTTAAATTAAAGCCACCTGCACAGTCGATCTCATTCACCACAGCTCCTGCCGAGTAAGACCCCTCTTCTCAGACATCCCTATCTGTGAAGTGAGCGGGTCAGACCAGGAAGGTTCTCAGTTCTTACAGCTCTCAGGAATTGTTAGAAGCTGTTCTCCAGCGCCCCCCCGGGGAGGGGCAATAGGAGCAAGGCCAGAGCCAGGAACCCAGAGTCTGTTGGCATCATCAGTTGCCCTTTAAAGTTACACCTGACTCCACCCCAGGCTCAGTATTTACTAATCTGGTTTACCCCATTGAGAAAGCGCTAAAGATGGGAGTTCATTTTCAGAAAGGAATGGTGAGTGAAAAAGTAACAGCTTAGGGGTCAAATTAAAGAAAATGAAAATAAAAATAAAGCTACCCAGTGGGAGAAGTGAATTCTTCATGCCTGTTAGAAACCTACATCCTTCAATGTTGACTTGGAAGATACCCAGACAGACTCCTGCCTTTCAGTTTTAGGCCACATCCTATCCCCCAACCCTTCCGCTTGCCTGTCATTCCTTGTAGTGTGGCTTGTTTCCTCCATGGGATTAATGCCTTTAAGTTTTGTGTTTCTTGTTCCTCTTGGTTCATTTGGATTGTAGTAACGTACTTTTCATGGGCCTACAATGGTCACTTGACCACAACACACTTTCCAAACTGACATGTTCAAAGCCAGCTGGAAATGGCCCCGCCTCTTTTTCTGTAAGAGCCCTTTTTAAAGCCAGACTTGATTCCCCAGTCTCAATATCTTTAGTGTGCTTATATCTGACTACTTTTCTTCCTGTGGGCTGCAGTATTCCAGTAACTACTGCCTCTTCCATTACTTTCTCCCTCCTTCTTTTTCTCCTATTTTCTCCCCTTTCTCTTCCCTCTCTTCCCTCTCTTTCCTCTCTTTCCCTCCTTCCATTCACACATCTTTCCCCTTCCTTTTCCTTTCCTTTCTCTTTCTTACTACTCTGTCTTCTTCCCCTTCTCTTCTTTCTTCCCTTTATCCCTCTTTTTTTTTCTTTAAGTACCATGTGCCAACTTCTATGCCAGGCACTAGAAATACCAAGATAATTTCAAGGGGTCAGCAATTAACATCCAATAATTGCAGTGTCTTCCTTAACTCTGCACTGTTAAACAGTTAGGCACCTACAACAACTTAGTTTATCTTCACTCCTAGGATTTATTTGAAGGTGCCCTGTGTCCCATTGTCTTCTGCTCTCTGCCTCTGTGTCCTATTTCAGCGAGGGTAGACTTGAAGCACTCTTCTCAGTAGGGTTCTCTTGTCCACACTGGGACAAGGCCACTGCTTGACTGGTCCTTGAGCAAGGGGAACAATGAAAGAAAGCCACTTTTGGTTGTTCAAGTGATGTAGCCCTTCTGCCATGGTTAGATATAGCATTGTCCCAAAGGGGTCACAAATTCATTTCCCATTAAACAGTCGATGTGATCACTGTCTGTGACATGTTCTGTTATCTCTTTAGTTGTACTGATGCTCCTTTCAGCCGGTCCTATAGCCCCTTCCTCGGGAGTGTTTCCCAAGTGAAAGGACAGAGACTTCGGAGACTGCTAGCCTGATGGACACTCGTGCCCGCTGTGAAGTTTTAAAACAAAGCAAGTGACCAGCTGAAGAAACCCCTCCTGCCCGGCAGCCCCCCCCGCGTGGTGCAGTTGCAGCCAATAGTCATCTCTGAAAGAAACAGAAAGACCCAGACCATTCACAAGTCATAAATTTGCCCTTCCTCATGTGTATTTGTCTGTGTTCAGATTTACATGCCATCTAGTTTTGATCCGAGTGTGGATAGGCGTGTTAGTCCGCTTGGGTAAAGGCAACTTTGCTCAGATATGTTAATGTATGAAGAGACTGGATTTTCTGGGGGGGATTGGTTTTTATCAACATATAGTATTCATTCTTGAGCGAGATATAGAAAATTCAAAACCATGTCTTCACAGGTGGCCCACAAAGACACTCATGCCACCACACAGAAGCACGACATCAAGTCCCCAGACTGTGAGCGGCAAGCTTGACTCTGTGACATATAGCAGTTACTTCCAAGGGTGGAAATCAAACTGGACAAGGGTATACTAGCTACCCAAAATGTAGTGACAAACTGATCCAGTAGACAATAAGAGCAGAAATAAAACAAAAGATGATGTGCTCAGAAGAGGCCAAATTGATTTACCTAAGGGAGAATGTTGCCCTAAAGAGAAAATATGAGATGAACCTTAAAGAAGGTTAAAAAAAATGTTGCGTAAATAGGAAGGTCGGAGAAAATAGAGTCCTTAAAGTGGACATGATAGTATGCAAGGGCATGGCATAGGAAATCCACAGGGTGAGTTTTGGAGATGGCAAATATGCACTTCAACTTGACTCCACCCAGTACTCAGCACTCCTTTCTGTGCATCTTATAAAGATGGTGCACACATGTATCTTCCCTCTCCTACCCCAGATGTCACCTAAACTAAGCTAGAACTAAAGTTCCAGTTCGCTGTCACAAGAAAAGGGGGAAGGCAGTTGGTGGCACCTGTGTAGAACTCATGTAGAACAAACTTCTTTTGTTCATAATTGCTAGTTACCAAATTTCTTCCATTTAGGAAGCATTTTGCATAAGAAATTTCATGACATCTATGAAAATCACACTTTATACCCGCTTCTTAGGTGATGACACTGATTTTGAGGAGGTTAAGTGCCTGGATGAGGTGCTACATACAGCTATGAACATTCAAGGCTGTGGTCACAAAACTCATGAGCTGAAGTCTGAAGCCAGAATTTTGTGATCAGTGCCAATACTGCTGTCACTTTCCCCACAGCCCTAATGTCTATCTGTGCAAACAAGTAGCTCTTTTGCTTACTGATGGCCTCAATGATTTTGCATGTGAATTACACCAGAATGATAAAAATGGGTTTTCACAACAGAAAATTGAACATTTAGTGGAGGACAGTCTGCCAGAAGTCTAGATATTTCCTTTGCATTTTGGTCAGACATCATGAGACTTTTGACTTAGATACCTGTTACAAGATCTCTTTGACAGAAAACATAAATCTATAGTCTGTAAGAAAAGTAACTTAGAGAAAAATTCCAACCAGCCCAAACAAACAAACAACAAACAAACAAAACAAAACAAAACACGTATTTTTAAGTGGCCCAGCAAGGACCAGAAACTAGGCCTTCAGTTGTCTTTCAATGGCTTTTAAATGATTCCACCCTGCCCCAAAGAAACATGCACTTCTATTTGATCAAAGGAGGTATTCTGTCTATGTGATCAAGAAATGTCTCATAGACCAGATCTAGTAGATCTCTCCCGTCCCTTCCCCCTCTTTGGCCACCTCATGTCAGTGTGAAATACAGCTATGAACTAGTGTAATTGGGTCAAGAAGTTGTCAATGATCTGTCCCCAAGGAGTCCCAGATAGCTACAGTTGTATGTATACTGTTTCGTTAATGATATTCCCAATCATGAAGTCATTGGTTCACCTGCACAGGTTCAATTTCCCATTGTACATCTTCTCAGTCCACTTGGCCAATGTTCAACTTTTGTAAACGCTGTGAATGCTATCCATGACTGTTTCAGTGCTACTTAAGTGTTAACAATGACCACTAGTCATTTTGTGTTGTAATCCTCATTTATTCATGTAACTAATTCAAAAATATTTGGTCCATAAAAAGAACTAAAATTCCCATTCTTGATTCCAGTCACTCTACATTTGATTGGCATTTAGCAATGATTAATAGAGTGACTGTCTACATAACATAGATGTCCAAATTGTGATTTTTTTTTTTTTGTCTTAAAGGGGACAGTTAAGCTAGGTCTGCTAAGGCACAGAGCTTTAACTTTTGGAGATACCCGGATATTTAACTGATGTAACATTCTACTTAGCTGTTTGACGTTGTCCTACATAGTCCCATCATGGTTCTTGCTGTCTTATTTTTTCAAAGTGTTTGTTGGCTCTGTCTTACACTGTTTTCACTGAGTTCATAAATAAACCAGTTTTGTTGTTAACGAGTAGCCCAAGCACAAAGTGTGACTTTGTTGACATTTTATGAGACTTTCCTTGGTCCTTGACTCCCAATAAAAGAAATGTTGTATTAACTGTGACTTGTGTTGATTTATTGGAAAAGATAGCTCACATAGCTGTCACTTGTATATGTATAAATCAAAACTAGTTTGTGATCCATAAGGACCAAATATCTAATTAGATTAAAAAAATCGTTGTTAGAGACAATTTATAAATGATCCCATATCACCTTTAAATGGTCATGTATTCATGTCAGAAACCCAAGTTCAGTCTTTCCTTTCCATATGCCATGGTGGAGAGTTCAGGGTTCCCTTTTGACTTCCCCCCTCTTCTTCTATTCAGATAAGTGTGCTTCTTCGCATTCCCTGTGCTAACGAAGTAAGAAAACATCTTTTCCTATCTGGAACACTGCCTCATCCTACCAGGATTTCCCTGTGGAAGTGTCGAGTGGAACTCAGCGAATTCTCTAAATCATAAATAATATTCTCCAAGGGTTAAACCTCTTTGTAATTTCCATTGGCCTTGAGATATCATGGCACCAAGAGAACTTGCTGTTCTGGCTCCTTCCTCCAGCAGAGCTCTCTCGAATCAAATCCCCATCGAGCTTTCCCATCATGGGCACAGACCATCATCTTTGTCTTCTCTTCCTCTTTTAATCTGCTCAGTTTTCATGCATGTAAACTTTTGTCTTTACCTCTCCACCATCCCTTTCAAATTCTACCATCTGTCCTTCAAGTCTTAACCCAGCAGCCATTTCCTTTCAGAAGACTCCATCGTAGACATCACCAGTTACCATATGCTGACTTCCTCACCAAAATGCTTTCAGAGCGTCTTGCTAGATATTCCACCGAGTATTATGATGGCTTCTCCATCAGTCTTCTTTCTCTGTAAGAGATCCTAAAGCTATGCTGTCCAGCATGCTAGACATTCAGCATATGCAGTCCTTTCAACTTAGGTGAATTAATATTAAATGAATCTCAGTTCCTTATCTGTTTTGACTACATCTGAAGACCTGAGTGTTACATGTGCCCAATGCCCACCCTTTCATAAGCAGTATGGCTGTCCACTTTTCATGATCTGGATCCTGTCCAGCCCAGTTCTAGAGAATAAGCACTCTGTTTTATTGGTCATTTTACCCTCTATCAATGATGATTTTAAAACTAGGGGTTTTCATCTGAACCATGAACACAAAAGCATGACTAGTATGGTTACTCTCTGAATTATCCCATGACTGAAATATCATACATACTGGACTATCTACAAAGGACATTAACTCGTTAGATGTAAAGATGCCCAGAGCACTGGCATAGAAAGCTAGCTGAAAAAGTATGCAGCAGCCGTTCACAGCGTAAAGTTAGGTCCTCCCACGATATCTGCAGATTGCATGGCTTGTCTGGATCCTTAGTAAGATGTAGTCTGATCTCTTTTCTCACGAGCCATGGTGCTACTATGTAGGAGATATGTCTTTGGATATGTAAGGACTCCTTGTCTTGAGGATACATAGTCACATCCCAAGGAAAACTGAGTGGTATTACCAATAGGATTACCAATGACTTTGTTTTATGCATTCCCAGGCAAACCAAAGAAGAAAATGGAGCTTTTACTTAGTCAGTAAGGAACTGGAGAGATGGTTCAAAGGTTAAGAGCACCAATTTAGTTAGTGAGGTCAAAACAACAGTGACTCAAGTAGACAATAGATTTGACCATCCCTACTTTAGTGGAGGGTTAGCCAGATTTTATTAAAATATTAATTATTTATTGGGAACATGTTTATTGCACGTATAGCATATACTAGCCAGGTCCTTATTGGATATTAGGAAAGCAGCAAGCAATAGGACAAATGTGGTCGCTGCATCTATAGTGAATGATATGAATGGAATTATTTCAGTCACTTAGCAGTACCCAGTATATGAGTTATCACACTGCTTGGTCACTGCTTAGGGTGTTTGAGTACTGATACCTAGGTCTTTATTTTTTCAAAGCCCTTATAGAGCTTTGAATAGGCAGATAAACCTGAGAACTTTTGACCTATTGGGATATGGTATTGCAAGGCCTTGGGGGCTGAAGCGGAAGAACTGCAAACACAAGCATTACCTGAAGTGTAGCTTGGGAAACGGAGGCATTGTCTCAGAACAAAGCCTTAAGGAAGGCTAGAAATGGATGAAACCCACTTGTAAAGACACGTGCCCAGCATGCACTAGGCCCGACCTCCAATCTTCTGTACAATGAGTAAATAAGACAAAAAATGCTAAGAAAACTAAGAATTTGGTATTGACAGTTGATATCAGGTTATAGCCAAAAGGGGAAAATTTAAATTCACTTGTTTAACTTATCTTCATTTCATTTTTTTTGTCAAATTACTTCAGAAGACAAATCAATACTTAGTCACTGAGTCAACCAGAGTAGCGAGATAATGACTCAGATATGAGCCAAATTAGTTTCTAATTTTAACAAATACTCTTTGCTATAGTAAACTGCTCCAGGAAATAAAATTACCTTCAAACCAGGAAAGAACCAGTATCCGCATAATCATAATTTTTAAAAGTCAAACATCAAATATGAGCACTATAAATTCTATTTGCTAAAAAAACCCACATGTGTACATATGTATCACACACACACACACTCCAGGAACAGGAGATCGGGTCTCCAGGAGGTCTAACTGGTTTCTTGCAAAGATCAATGTGCCTATATTCAACTGCACTCTTAACTAGGAAGGACGCTCTGCCTTGGAAGAGCAGAAATGATGGTGGGAAGAGAAAAATGGAAGAGCGCCCTGTGCTCTTGTGTCCTTGCTCCCCGCCTACTTCATTTCACGGCATTCCGTCCTGTTTAACGCTTCTCAGTACAGGTGAAATCTGTCAGTCTGTCTATCTCCAAGGGAAAAGTTGACATTATCAAATAACTACTACTTTAAAAATCACATCGGTGACCTGTCCACTGTGCCCAACTTTCAGATTCTTCTTACGTGAGGAAGGATGAAGAGCATCCTGGAGCTCTCTCCTTTGGTCCCCGTTTTCACAGCATGGAAGACCACACGGGGAAATGTGTTTTTCCGTTTTCTAGCCCAGTGGTTCTCAACCTTCTTAATGCTGCAGTCCTCATGCTTAATACAGTTCCTCATGCTCTGGTGACCCCCAACATAGATTATTTCCATTACTTTTCCATAACTGTTATTGTGTTACTGTTATGAATCATAATGTGGGTATCTCTGTTTTCCAATGGCCTTAGGTGAGCCTTGTGAAAGGTTCCTTTGACCCCTAAGGGGTCGTGACCCACATGTTGAGAACCACTGTTCTAAAGCCATCAAAAATCAAACCAGTGTGCACACACTTCCTTCGGCACACCTTTTGGTGTTTGAGCATCTACAGAGCTGGGAAATTTGTATTTCTGTTCCAATTCCCTCACGCTGTTGTCTAATCCCATTTTCTCTTGTTCCCCATGGAGAGAAAAAAACAGCTGGCTCCCATTCTTTCTAAATTCAATCTCTTCATGAAGACACCTACCTCTCTGCCCTCTCTTTTCTGGGATGAATAACAATTTCCCGTCAGGAATCATCTCTTGGATTGAGTGTGCTCGCTGCCATGTCATGTATATTCATGTTCAATACATAATGTTCTTATTTCCAACAAGCTAAGGCCCAGCACAAAAAACAAGCACATGGATCATTATTTTCATGAATGAAGTTACAGGTCCAATAATAGACACTGAATAAACAGTTGAGGACGATTGTCTTCTCATAATCACAGGTCAAAATCTATCATATTTTCTTGTACAAAGTATTGACAAGCTACTGCTTTGGGAAAGGTACATTAAAAATTAAATGATCAGATTTCAGTTTCCTTAAAGGGAGTCCCCCCACCCTGTGCCCTGCAATGGAATGTTCCATTTGACGTTCCACGGCAGGAGCCACCATTGCTTGGACAAAAATAGATACAGTCTTGAGCATTCAGTCAATGGAGCAATCCCATTGTCTGAACATTCTTCTCTGCTTTGCCACTTACATTTTAATAAATCCCAGCATACATCAAGCTGCCCTGCGTTGCATGAGTGTGGCTAAGCACGTGTAGTTTACCATTTGCAGCCAGGAAATCCAAACACGCAGCTCCTCTAATGTGCCAACATTTGCTTCGCATAGATATTTTCCAGATCCTTCTATGGAACAGAAATACACTCCCAAATAAAAAACCAATATTTTTCAATACAATTGCTGTCATCCACTGACATCTCATTAGTATACTCAGATTTTATAAATAGGGGAGCTGTAAGGTAGAGGGCAGGTGTGCCATTAGGTGATCTTAGAATCTTAGCGCCTGTGAACTCCAAAAATGATTCTACAGAGGGCAAAAAAAGAAAGAAAAGAAAAAAGAAAAAGGACATATACCTATTTCTGCCAGTTTCCTTTCTGTTCACTGAGTAAGCTCGTGTAACCACATTTTAAAGTCACCTCACATTCCACACTACCAAAATGCCAGGCAAAACCAGCCTTAACAGATGTGTATGTGTGTGCGCATGTGCGTGTGTAATTATTTTTATTAATCTATATGCATAACTTAGTTCATGCTTATATTGGCCACCAGCTGCTTCAATGCTTTGAGACATTTGTTTCCCTGGCTTAACAGAGCCCCGTGAATTTTTATGCTGCAGCAGAGGTACACAGTGATGGAGTGTGCTTAAGCACGTTGAATATTGTCAGGTGGCATATCTGTGCTTAGGGGAGATGTCTGAATAAAGAACTCTAGAATCATCTCCACTCTATATATGATAATAATATATTATATATTACTACCTAGAGTAATATATTATTATATTAATAATATACTATCATACATTAATTATAATCATATATTGTGTACTATATATTAATATACAGTACAGGATATATTGTATAGTGTATATTACTGTATATTATATATAACTCTACTTGAATATATTAAGTAATAATATATAGTTATATAGAATATGTGCCATCATATTATATATTAGTAA